TTTTTTAATTATAAATTAAAGATCATCTCTTTTGTTTTTTAATCAGGTTTAATTAAATCATTAGTCAGATTCTTCTTATTATTATTATTATTAACAACAACAACAACAACAACAACAACAACAACAACAACAACAACAACAATACTGTTAATAATAATAATAATAATGATAATAATAATAATAATAATAATAATAATAATCAGGTCTTGGACTGAAACAGAGGAAAACAGCCGAAGACTTTTATAAAGGAGCCGGAGGGAAACTCAGGGCTGCATCAGAACTTTTGCACAGAACTCAGTGAGCGTGGAGATGACTCTCAGCTACTACCACTGTGAGTTTCAGCTCAGCTCCATCTGGAATCAAACATCCTCTGATGTTTGTCTGAAGGATTCATGATAAACTCAGTGACTCAGCAGATATTTTGCTGACTCAGATAAACACACTGACCAGCCGATCAGGTCGGTTTGTTTTTCTTTATTCTTCACAGAATCAAAAAAAAAAAACAAAAAAAAACAGGTTTTTATTTTGAGTCAAAAGTTTGTCTGAAAGCTTCCTGTGAGGCGAGGGGGCGGGGCCAGAGGTCACCTCAGCTGTCCGTCACTGCTCCTCCTCTGCCTCCTGCCCTGGCTGACCTTCATCATCACAGTCAGTTGGCCCCGCCTCCTGGGACTCCTCCGCTGCCGTTGCCATGGCGTCCACCACGGTGACGGTGCTGACCTGCTGCTGGAGGGCGGGGCTCTGAGCGGCAGCCAGCGGCAGCGTCACCAGCTGGAACTGAGGTCCGACCACCTTAACGAAGGCCCCGGAGCCRCCGGACCCCCCAGCCGCTGCCTCCGCCCCCTCCAGCAGCGTCAGGTTGGCGCCGTCGGCCGCCAGCTCGGCGCCGGACAGAGGCGAGGCCAGGAGGGTGTACCCGCCCCCCTGCGCCCCCGCCACCGTCAGCACCTTCCCCAGCTGCAGCCCGCCCAGCTGGCCGAGGGGCAGCGTGATCTGGGCCGGCGCCGCGCCCACCGCGGCTGGGCCAGAGACGGCACGCGTCAGGCGGGGGCGTTTGGGCGGCGGGGGCGGAGTCACCGGGGTCAGGGTCATCAGGACGTTGTTCAGGTGCTGAGATTTACTCTTCAGCTCCTTGGCTCGTTTCCTGTGTTCATCACACTGCTGCTCCAGAGCTGTGGGGGGGGGGGGGGGCTGTCAATCAAACTGTTCACACCACCACCTCATTAACTCCACAACACCTGCTGCCTGGCTCAGGGACAGGAAGTGCACCTCAAACACAACACATGCTACAAGAACATTAGCAACAAGTAGGAAAACAGAGGCTAAAGTTTACTAAAGCAAAGCTAAAACTGGCAAACAATTGTTAACATTAGCTTAAAATAAACAAAAACCAGCTAAAGAGAAGCTTAAATTTACTAAAGTTATGCCAAAATTAGTAAAATCATAGCTAACGTTAGCTAAAGAGAAGCTATGATGAGTAAAACCATAGTTATTGTTAGCTAACAAGAACTTAAAATTTGCCAAAGAATATATATAATTCACTAAAGAGAACCTAAAATTTACTAAAGCAAAGCTAAAATGAGCAAAATGTTGTTAACATTAGCTTAAAATAAACAAAAATCAGTTAAAGAGAAGCATAAAGTTATTAAAGTTAAGCCAAAATGAGTAAAACATAGCTAAAATTAGCTAAAGAGAGGCTAAAGTTAGCTAATAGAAACTTAAAAATTAGCTGAAGAGAAGCTAGAGTTAGCTAATAGAAACTAAAATTAGCTATAGAGAAGYTAAAGTTAGCTAACAGAAATTATCTAAAGAGAGGCTAAAGTTAGCTAATAGAAGCTAAAATTAGCTGAAGAGAAGCTAAAGTTAGCTAATAGAAACTAAAATTATCTAAAGAGAGGCTAAAGTTAGCTAATAGAAGCTAAAATTAGCTAAAGAGAGGCTAAAGTTAGCTAATAGAAACTAAAATTAGCTGGAGAGGGTAAAGTTAGCTAATAGAAGCTAAAATTAGCTAAAGAGAGGGTAAAGTTAGCTAATAGAAGCTAAAATTAGCTAAAGAGAGGGTAAAGTTAGCTAATAGAAGCTAAAATTAGCTAAAGAGAGGCTAAAGTTAGCTAATAGAAGCTAAAATGATCTGAACAAAGCAGGATTATCCAGAACTTGAGACGTGTAGAAACTCTGATCAAAGGTTCTGGTACTGACCGGCCAGGCTGCGGGAGTACTGCTCTCGGTACCGGTCCATCTGGC